CTTCCAACAGACAAATGCCTCAATCTAATCTCCTTACTACATGCCTTCACTCCTCACACACTCGTATCTGCATTAACAGTCCAACATGTTTTAGGCACTATGACGTCCATGACTGCTGTGGTTCAGCGTGTCCGCCTCAAAATGAGATCACTCCAGACATGGTTCCTAGTCTTGTTCAACCTGTTGACAGACTCACCCCATATGTTGCTGCGAGTTACTCCAGAACTCGCCTCCCAGCTTGCATGGTGGCACTCCACTCAGAACCTGACAATGGGACAGCCCTTTCAACAACCCCACCCACAAATCCAAGTTACTACAGACGCCAACCTTACCAGCTGGGGTGCCTGTTGCAGATCCCTGCAAATCCATGCCCCGTGGTCACAAAGAGAGAAGCTGCTCCATATCAACGAGCTAGAACTCTTAGCAGTAATAAAAGCCTGCAAAGTTTTCAAAAACCATCTCATGGGCAAAATGGTTCAAATAGCTACACACAACACCACCACAATGTATTATATTCTCAAACAAGGGGGCACGCCTCAAAGTTTTTTAAAAAAATATGTCACTGTTGACCTGTGGGAATGGTACCTCTCTCATCACATTTGTCTCACGGCAAGACATATACCTGGTCAAGACAACAATTTGGCAGATTTGCTCAATCGCAAAAAATCTCAAACCCACAAATGGGAGCTAGATAAATCTGTTTTTCTCTCTCTCTCCAAATGATGTGGCACACCCACCATCAACCTCTTTGCCTCCTGGGTAAACTGGAAATACAAGTGTTACTGCTCCTGCGCAGGAGCAGGCAAGAATTCCTGCGAAGAATTCATCAGCCGTTGGCCCAAGTCACTCATTTACCTGTTTCCACTGTTCCCACTCCTCCAAAAAGTTGTAATCCGGCTTCAGCAGGACAGGCCCAATGCTATCCTGATAGCTCCGTAGTGGCTGCGACAGCCATGGTTCCCAGTTCTCCACCAGCTGTCGTCCAACATTTATCAAGGGTCGCCACGTCACCTCGTAGAGAATATCTAAGTGGGTTGTGTCTACCATCCAGCTTGCTTATCGCTTGAGTTCCAGCGCCACAGAGTATCCGCCCTTATTCTACCAGGGCGTTAGCGACATCTACAGCATTTCCTTGTAAACTGGAAATACAAGTGTTACTGCTCCTGCGCAGGAGCAGGCAAGAATTCCTGCGAAGAATTCATCATCCACATTTATCAATCATTACAGATTGGATATTTGGCAGAAATCTGACGCTGCTTTTGGACATGCTGTTTGATCATCTACCTTGGCATGACACCCTCCTCCAGGTAAGGTAGCTTGTTAGTCACCCATAGAGTATTCCCAGTTCTCCACCAGCTGTCGTCCGACATTTATCAAGGGTCTTCAAGTCACCTCGTAGAGAATATCTAAGTGGGTTGTGTCTACCATCCAGCTTGCTTATCGCTTGCGTTCCAGCGCCACAGAGTATCCGCCCTCATTCTACCAGGGCATTAGCGACATCTACAGCATTTCCTCGGGGCGTCCCCCTACTGGACATCTGCGCCTTTGCCACGTGGTCACAGCCATCCACATTTATCAATCATTACAGATTCGATATTTGGCAGAAGTCTGATGCTGCTTTTGGACGTGCTGTTTTATCATCTACCTTGGTATGACACCCTCCTCCAGGTAAGGTAGCTTGTTAGTGACCCATAGTGCAATTCACAGAGGCCATGAAGAAGAATGACAGGTTACCTACCTGTAATTGTAGTTCTTCGAGTGGACCTCTGTGATTCAAATGTCCCAACCCAGCCTCCCCACTGTCATGCCTTTTTTATTTATGCGGCAGTTGACCTAACTGGGATTAGGGACGTGGTGGCGCTGCAGGCTAAACCGCAGAAGCCTGTGCTGCAGGGTTAGAAGACCAGCAGTCGTAAGATCGAATCCATGCAATGGAGTGAGCTCCCGTTGCTTGTCCCAGCTCCCGCCAACCTAGCGGTTCGAAAGCATGCAAATGCAAGTAGATCAATAGGGACCACCTCGGTGGGAAGGTAACAGCATTCTGTGTCTAAGTCGCACTGGCCATGGGACCACGGAGAATTGTCTTTGGACAAAACGCTGGCTCTATGGCTTGGAAACGGGGATGAGCACTGCCCCCTAGAGTCGAACACGACTGGACAAAAATTGTCAAGGGGAACCTTTACCTTTACATGACCTAACTGGTGGGAGAGCCTTGGCGCCAAGGTACATATACCAGGGGGGAGGAATCTGTTCTAATGTATCTTTTTGCTACACCAGAAGCTCTAGAATATTCTGACGAGGCTCTGCGCATGCGCGGATTACCCATAGTGTGAATCACAGAGGTCACTTGAACAACTACAATTACAAGCAAGTCACCTGTCATTTCCTGGGAATCAACCATACTACAGTTACAGGTAGGTAACCTGTCGTTTCCTGGGAATCAGCCACTCCGCCTTAAATTGACCAGGCCACAGTGGTATAGATCAGCTTAGTCAAGAACTCGTCATGGCCTGGAGAGACTGACTGAAATGTCTTCACTTGCTGAATCAAAGTCCATATTTCTGCCCTCCTTTCCAGACTTAGCAGCACTGACAGTTGACAGCAAATGTGAGCTGCTAGGGCTGCCCACTCTCTTTGGCAGCCCTTCTGAGTTATGCTGAGGGGAGGTATTTTTTAGCAGTAAGAAATCTCTCAATAATAGCCAGCATTCTCTTCACTGCAATGAACACATACAATTGAACTCCTGGATGGCTCAATGTTTTAGGTATCTGGCTGCTGCGCCAGAGATTAGGAGTTTGACACCCTACTGTGTCTCCTTGACAGGGGCTGGACTTGATGATGTATAACGTCCCTTCCAGCTCTGCAGTTCGAAGATGATAATTGAGAATGCATAAATACATTTTTTAAAATGAATTGGATGCATTTTATTCCTGACACATACCATATTCTTCTGTTTATAAGACGACCCAATGTATAAGATGACCCCCCCCTTGTCTAACCCCAAATTAGAAAATTTCCTAAACCTGGGGTTTAGTAACTCCCTTTGACCCCTGCTTTTCCCTTCCTTTTGCTAAGGGAAAAGCAGAGATCAAAGGGCTGCACGATAACTGAGCCTGCAATCAGTGGTGGAGGCAGCAGCAGCAGGAGGCGGAGACCGAGGCTGCCTCTTGCTGCTGCCCATTAAATACTGCCGCCACCGCCCGATCACAAGGAGACGATCCCTGGAGGGGACAATTGGGCAGCGGCCACAGCAGTCAACGGGCAGCAGTGAGAGGCAGCCAAGCCCGGCTGATTCTTTGTCTCAGTCTCCGCCGCCTGCTGCTGCCCTCCATGTACAAAGCAACCCTCAATTTTTCCTCTAATTATTTTAGAAAAAAATGTCATTTTATACACGGAAAAATATGGTACTGTATTTGTTTGCACCCATGGAACACTGGATTGCAACAATGGTGTCATTTAGTTAAATAAAATAATTTCTTATTTTAAAAACTGTTCATTCTTTTACAAAATGTTTAGGTTACCAATTGCTCACACTTGCTTCAATCAGCTCTGCCTGCCTCCTTACAAGACCAAAAAGGAGCTAAAGGAGAAGTTGACCATTGGAATTTCAAATGCAGAAGGTTTTGGTTTGGAATAAATGGATTAGCGATGTGTAGCAAATGTAGCACTTGCTTTTTTTCTGATCGTGCCTTTAAAGCTTTTCATTTTTCTGTCTGTTAATACTATGACAGTATTGCCTAGAACTGTATGGACTTGATCTTTTTTAAAAAAAGAAAAAGTGCATTGATTTTTTTCTGTATATAGAAATATACTTACTCTTTCTTACAGAAGTTTTGTACAATATTCATAATGAAAAGCTTCCAGGGTTATCAGGTTTGAATCTGTAAACTGAAGCAAACTGTCTCAATCTTCTTGCAAGGAGAGACTGTTCAGAACCAACCTGTGTCTCCTCAGGTATCCCAGACTGTAGGCAAGAGATACTAAGTACTCTACTATTGATGATAATTGATTTTGCTCATGTATATTCTACTGGGAAGTACAATGTCTAAATAATATATTTCTTAATTAGTCAAGACCAGTGAAATATTTCAGTGAGTGTGTGCTATGGCAACACTCTGCCCTGAGGCATGTGGCTGTGTTTTCAAGTTGAAGCAGATACCAATTTTAAAGTAGATTAAGTAGTTTTTCTCTTGTCATCCGCAAAAATTAATTGTTCATTTATAAGCCTGTAAATAACTGCCTGTGGGCCTATATGATTTTGATAGTTCAATTTACAGCTGAAGATTTATTTTTACAAAGTATAGGGTTTCAGATGTTATATATTTAGCTTTTACAGATGAACAGATCTGATTGTATAGGAATGTAAAAGCTGCTATTTTGAAACGTATTTGAATTCATGGACCAACTTTTGAGTATTTAACTGTTTGCATGTTTATAATATCAAACTAGAAGTAAACTAGACTGTTTGGCTGTTATTACCCTGTTTCCCTGAAAATAAGACCTAACCTGAAAATAAGCCCTAGTATAGTTTTTTACGATGCTCATAATATAAACCCTACCCCAAAAATAAGCCCTAGTTAAGTGAAACCCCACCCTCCACCATTATGCAGCAACCAAAAGATGACATGACTGTAAAATAAAACATCCCCTGAAAATAAGCCCTAATGTGTTTTTGGAGCAAAAATTATTGTAAGACCCTGTCTTATTTTCGGGTAAACACGGTATTGTACTTTTGTAACTGTAATTTAAAAGAACTTTATTGTTCAATAATACAGTGGGAACTGTTTATTTGATGGGCAACAAGCCAACTCTCTGCATAATGAGAGGTTTAATTTTGATAGTTTTAAATTATGCATCTTTTAATTAGAAACTTAATACTGTAAGTCTTTTTCATAAGGTTTACAATAAATTCACTGAGTTTTTCTACACAAATTGACTATATTCAAACTGTATCAAATGTTTCAGCTTTTATTTATCTCTTTGCTACCAGATGTGGTAACAACTGTCTCCCAAATTTCTTTAAATGTGACTTAACGTGAGGTTGCCCCAGGCTGATGTAAAGTTTTCTATATCACACTCTAGGTTATTGTATCAGCTGAAATCACTGTTGTTCTTGCAGGAAATGTTTAATTATCTCCAACATGAGCTTTGGAAGTGTCCAGACAGCAGAAGGTCAAATTGTTACAGAGTTTTGAATTTCTGATTAAATTCCTCTAGCTGCACAGCAGAAGTACAGGGATTCACATAACAAAATAGCTTCAGGTTCTCTAGAATAGGCAACCCTTTTTCTCATTAACTGGCACTTACAGTCTCAATAACTCATTCTGAGACATTATTAGTATAAAGAGCAAAATCATTTTCTTTACTTACAGTTGTGAATAGATCAAACAACAAACTAATGAGCATGACTGCTTTCAGTAGCATGACTGCTTTCAACAGACTCGAGAGAGGGAAAGACCTACTGAGTAGAGAGGCAGGGCTCTCTTTGAATTCAGAGGCAAGGAAGGAATGATTGGTCAGTGCTGGATAGATCATCAGTCACCCCAGACCAGAAAGATCTCTCCCAGCCAAACTTTCTAAAGGCAGCATGAAAGGTTGCAAAAACTCCAACACAAATCAGATACATTTCTTCCCCCCAGTATGTATGGCGATTCTACCCATTCTGCCAAGCTGTATGTATATATATTTGAAAGTAATAATAATAGGTTTTTGTGGTATGTAGTTGTGGATGTACAATTGGTATGAACACATAGACTAGTGCTAGAGTGGTTGATGGATAAGTGATGGAACATTTGGTGCAGGACTCAATGCTGATGGTTGGTGTGTATGAACTGTGCAGACATATTATCTGGAGTGGGAATTAGTCAGTTTTACAGCAAGCAAGGATAAGGAGTCAGCTATGTAGAATCTCCGTACAGCAAGTCTTAAGTTTGGATGTAGGAGAGTGGGCTGGGAGGAATTGTGTGTGAATATAATGAATGTATAGATGAAGTTTAAAAATACTATCTTTTTTCCCTCAATTTGAATACCTAGTAAAATTACTATTTTCTGTTCCCATTTACCTGTCCATTCTTAATAAACTCCTTTGGTTTGTTCCCAAATAAATCTCTCCTCATTATTTAAGTATAATTTCAATATTGCGTAATTCAGTAATCAACTAATACAGAGCATAGCACTCACAGGTCTTCAAGTTATGCAGAAGACGAAGCTAGAGTTTTACTGAGTGGAACTCAATAGCAAATCAAAATATAAGCACCAACTGGAACAAAGTAGTACTGGTGGGGTGTCTCAGTTAAAGAAGCTACCCCAAATCCTTTAGGAAATGTTTGGGGTAGTCATTCCTGAGCAAACACCTGAATTAGCAGCATTAGTGGTTGAGTTTGGGGTGAATGTGCCAGGTGAGCATGTCTGCCAGAAAATGTGTATCTCACTACTGTAGTAGAGATGCCTTTCTGGATACACTACAGCTTCTCACACTATCTTCTATCATTATCCCTGTTCTACACATACAGTGGTACTGCAGCAACATTAACTTATGAATGCAGCCCTTTGAGTGTGGGTGATCACAGAACAAAGGAAAGCAATTAGCCTTGAAGAAAGTACCCAGGAGTCGACAAGCAGATGTCCAAGCTAGCAGAACCTCAAGGCAATGCCCTTTGAAACAGGTAGTTATTATGGAAAAGAAGGTTGGTATACGTTGAATAAAACTACAGCAAATTATAAGGAGTACGAAGAGCATAATTCCAAGAATGAGAACTCAACACAACAGCGTCACTGAGTTAGCATTCAGCTGCGAGATAATGGCTGCTAATTTACAGTTCTTTTTGCATCAACACTCAGTGTCTTTATCATCCCCCAAGTAACTTTGGGCTGTGTGCCTTCAGGTCAGGCCAGGCGCCTCTGGTGGCGCGCAGTCATCTGGTTAAACTTCAGAGCCATCTCTGGATTGAATTCTGGAGTGCGGTCCTGCAGGTTACGATGCCAACTCATTCTTCCCACGATATGGCCTCACACACTGAGCCTCACTCCACAAAGGACCTGTGGGAGTAAGCACAGCAGCACAGCCATGATTCCATGTTAGTAGAGGGGATGGACCCTCCCACTGAGGGTCAGGAGGTTGCTTACAAGTCACCAGTGGCCATTCCATGGGATTTCTTTGTGAAAGATTCCTCTCAGGCAAACTAACCAGGTGAAAGTTACTGTACAGTGGTGCCTCGCTTTACGATTGCCCCATTTAATGACAAAACCGCATTACGATGAATTTTTTTGCTATTGCAAAACAATGTTTCCTATGGCGGAATTTTGCTTTGCGATTATTGGTTCCCTGCTCCGGGAACCGATTATTCGCAAAACGACGATTTTCCAACAGCTGATCGGCGATTTCAAAATGGCTGCCAGGTAAACAAAATGGCCCCTGCTGTTTTCTGGGATGGATTCCTCGCTGAACAGGCAGCGAAAATGGCCGCCCTATGGAGGATCTTCGCTGGATGGTGAGTTTACAGCCCTTTGGAATGCATTAAACGGGTTTTAATGCATTTCAATAGGTTTTTTCTTTTCGCATTACAACGTTTTCAATCTACAGCGATTTCGCTGGAACAAATTAACGTCATAATGTGAGGCACCACTGTACAATTAAATGATTTAATGTGAACAATGCTATTGATACTACATCTGGAACATCTTGGGGCTTGAGCCCTCTGTTTTTTGTTTGTTTTGCAAGGAGAAATTTAAAAGAGTGATGTGCTCTTTCTACAATGGCCTGTCCTGTGCAGTTATAAGGAATACCATGGGAAAATCGAAAATCCCATTCATTAAAAAAAGAGGTAAAGGTGTAAGAGGTATAGGGAGGGCCATTGTCTGTTTTTAAGGCAGGAGGCCGGCCCATAACTGCAAATGTATGTAAATAATGCTGTATGACATGGCGAGAGGTCTCACCATGAAGAGGGATAGCCCAGATGTATCCTGAGTAAGTATCAATAGTTAGATGAATATAAGAAAGAGGAGCAAGGGTAGGAACATGAGTGACATCCATTTGCCAAAGCTGATTGGCATCTGTTCCTCGTGGGTTAACAGCATCAAAAGGAAAGGAAATAGGAGACATGGAACAGGAGGAGCAGGAAGTGATGATGTCTCGAGCTTGAGAAAGTGGAATAGAAAATTGCACTCTGGTGAAAAAGGAATGGCTGTCAATAGGACTGGAAAAGAGGGGACACAAGGAACAAAGAGCAGAGTGTGCACAATGATTTCCAAGATAGCATCTTGCAATCCAGTATGAGCTCAGATGTGAGCTGCAAAAAAGTGTTGTGATCTGGCAGCAAGGAAGTTTTTTAAAATCAGAAACAGGGAAAGTAAGGAAAAGTCAAGAACAGGAGAAAGATAGGCATGTGACAGATGAGTAAGAAAGTTAAATACATATTGAGTGTCCACAATGAGATTTAAAGCTTGATCTTGAAACATTTGAAAGGTAAGGACGACAGATGCCAGCTCTGCACGCTGACTAGAGATTTGAATAGAAGTAAAAAGCGTTTTCCAGGTTCCGGGAGGTTTCTGAAAGGTAACCACACCTCTGGTAGGTGCACCATCGGTAAAAACAGAGCATCAGGGAGAGGAGTAGCAGAGAAAAGAGAGGAAAAGCGAAAAGGTACTTGCTGAATGAATGTTAAGTGAGGGTCTTTAGGAGGATTAAAACGCATATCACCAAAGTAATCTGAAAAAGCAATTTGACATGTTAGTGACGTAGATATTAAATGATCATGGTCAGCTTTAGAAATAGGTAATCAACAACCAGAATATCCCATCCTGTGAGTTGTTTGGCCCGATGGCGTCCTTTGATTACAAGGTCTGTAATCACATTGAGAGTACAGTAAACATTTTGGGCGTGAGTGTTAGAGAAATAAAGCCATTCTGTTACAGCAATGGCCTTGTCAGATTTCGGGCTACACAACAACCCAGTAGGCAGTTGGGGAGTGTTCAAGATAACCAGCTTCAAGTGACTGAACAAAAGAATGCGGTCAACCATGGTACGTCGCAAGGCTGAATTAATTTGATGTATGGCCTTGGTGATGGGCATGGAGTCAGCAGGAGACTGATGTCCCCAGAGTGCACTAAACAAAGGTTTCAGTTCATGAGTAGGAAGGCACAAAAATGGATGAGCCCAGTTTAAGTGCCCAAGGAACTGTTGGTTCTGCGCTAATGTAAATTGAGATGGAGTTTTTCGTTCTGGTAAGAATGGAGAAGATGTAGCTTGCAACAGTTGGTAGTTGAACCAAAACCTCCACTACGAAGGTTGGTAGAAGGACCCATCTGTGTTAATGGAAGCAACAACAATTGAGCAATAGATTCATCAGCAGAAAGGACCTGCAGTATATTAGACCAGGTTCAAATAATTAGAGGTCCTTCAAAATCCCCACCAGTGACGCCTGGTACAACAAATAAACCCCATGCAGAGATGCTAGTGTGGGGGAGAATGAGACCTACAGTGTCTTTGGGTATTGGTCCATGATATGCTGTTTTGACTTTGTAGACAGCAAGAGGGAA